TACATACATATATATGTGTGTATATATATGTATATATACACACATATGTGTATGTATATATATGTGTGTATATATACATATCGCCTACAAATTGTATATAGTTTTAAAAAATCCAATCTAATAATCTCTTTTAATAGGTATTTTATTCTATTAATATTGTGACTACTGATAAATTTGTATTTTCCTGACAACTTCTTTTAAAATTTTTCTTTATTTTTTTCTATATCTCTTTTTTCTCCTTCCCTTCTTTCCATTGTATTGATAACTTTTCTTTAGTTTCTTTTCTCTCCTCTACTAATAATTATTTTGTCTTTATTCTTTTAATGATTATCCTCAAATTTGAACATTCAACAGTTGACTAGAATTTGTAATTTCTACTAAACAAAACAAGAAATGTAGAACCTTTATCTCTAATCATGTCCTTCTGTCTTTTCTATGATTATTATCAAGTATTTCAGTTGTTTTCTCCTAATATTTTTGCAGTTAACAATTCATAATGTTTTATGCAATTAATGCTTTTTAAGATTTGCTCACATTTACCAGTTTCTTTGCTCATCATTCTTTCCTATATCTCAGTACTTCTTTCTGAGTTTAATTTTTATTATTTCTAAAGATCTTTTGATCCTTTGCTCAACAAGGATCATAGTGTACTTAGCAATAATATTGTACAACTTCATGTAAAATGCAATAACCTTGCAACTGTTTACCACCCTCCCTGTCTTTTATGCTATGAGTATCATATGTATTTATCTATTATACATACATAGTAAACTCAAAGTGTTTGCTTTAAATAGTGCTATAAATTTTAAGCTAATAAGAGGAAAAGCTGATATTTTATATGTATTGAGATGTTTACCATTTCCTTTGCTCTTTATTTTTTTCCGGAAGAGCTAGCTTTCCAGCCCATATTATTTCTCTTTAGCCCAAAACACTTTCTTTAGCTATTCTCATACTGTAGGTATTTGGCACTGAATTCTGTTTTCTTTATTTAAAATGTTTTTACATTGAATATAGAATTCCGAGTTGACAAGTTGTGTTTTTTTTCCCTCACTTTACAATTGCTCTGCAGGTGTTAATAGTGTCTAAGAAAATAACCATTATTAGTCATTCCGAATGTTATTCCCCTGTATGTAGCTGTTTCTTTTCTGTCTGCTTTCAACATTTTCTTTTAATCTTTGGTTTTCGACAGCTTGATTATTATGTACCTAGGTGTGGTTTTGATGTATTTATCCAGCTTGGATAAATAAATTAAGCATCTACAATCTGCATGTCTTACCAGATTTGGGAGACTTGGAGCTGCTAAATGTATCTTCAAATATTTGTTTTACCCCACTTTTTCTATCCTCTCCTTCTGCAATTCCAATTACTTGTATGTTAGACTTCTAATTATTAACTCACAAGTCCCTAACGTGTCTATTTTGTAAAATTTTAAAAATCTTTTTTCTTTCTACTTTTTGACACATCTTCAAGTTCACATAGTTTTTTCTGCTATCTTTGTTCTATTAAGTTCTTTCAGTGAAGTTTTAATTTCGGATATTGTATTTTTCAACTCTGGATTTTGTTTTCCTTATCAAAATTTTCTGTTTGTTGATACTTTCTTTTTTCATTTATCGCAGCATATTTTTCTCTATCATGCATAGTTATAATAACTGCTCCAAAATCTTCGTTTGGCAATTCTGACATTTTGGTAATATTGGAATTGGTTTTCATCATTATTTTCTTGAGACTGAATTACAATTTTCCTGTTTTTTGTATATCCAGTAATTTGGATTATATTGTAGACAGCGTGGGTGTTATGCCCTGATTTGATATATTCTCCTAAAGGCTGTTGAGATTTTTTTTTTTTTTAGCACACAATTAACATGTTTGGATTAGAATAAAAAATTATATCTTTTTTTTTAGCAGTCCAAATCTTGGTTTTGTTCTATTATTGTTAGCTGGGCTATTTGCAGTCTGCCCCATGTATGTATCTTTCAGGGATGAGCTAGAGATTTGTTCAGAGGTAGTTTTTGTTTTGTTTGCTTGTTTGTTTATGAGACAGGGTCTCCCTCTGTTGCCCAGGGTGGAGGGCAGTAGCACAATCATAGCTCACAGCAGCTCCAAACTCCTAGGCTCAAGTGATCCTTCAGCCTCAGCCTCCCAGGTAGCTGGGACTACAGGATACGCGTCACCATGCAGGGCTATTTTTTAAATTTTTTGTAGAGACAGGTCTCACTATATTGCTTAGGTTGGTCTTATCAAGTGATCCTTCCTCCTTGCCTTCCCAAAGTGCTGGGATTACACACATAAGCCACTGTGCCCCGCTTGTTCCAAGTTTTTAACAGTGATTTTAGAGTTCTCCCTTTTGATTTTTTTTTTTCTTTTCCAGGACCCCCACCCAAACACTGTCACTTAACTTCTCAAAGGTATTCTCACCTGTAAAATAAAACTCCTATATATTTTGAGGACACTAAAATGAAATTCTTCCCAGGATGCCAGTACACCAGGCATCAAGTTCCAAATTAACTGTGGGTTAGAAACCATTTGCAGATTTTGCAAGGGGAAAGTTTCACAGTAGATGAGTGACTCAGCTTTTGAATCAGATCAAGGACAATAAAGAAGGTCAGGAAGTGTAGAGAAAAAAACTGCTGAAGCGGCGTCTTTAGAGAGAACTATTGCCATGGTTCTTATGGGAGAGGGACAGCGCAAGCATTCCTCCTCAACTCAAAGCTAGGAAGACAGGCTTCAGTGGCACTTGAATGTATTTGCTGCTATTAGAAGACCCAACAGACTGGTGCTTGATTCATGCTTGAGGACACTAAATGGGGCTGTGATGAGAAGACAGAATGGCTTGTTTGGGATCAGTCTGCACTTCCAGAGTTATTGGGGTAAAGGTTGTATAATTGTTTACTGTAAACCATATGTGGCCCTGAGAGAGAGAAAAAAAACCAGTGTGGAGTCATTTTGGGTCCTGCCCAGTACAGTGATCTGGAAGAACGAAGGACCTCTCAACAGCAGGGAGAAGAAAGAGGTGAACTCCAGATTCATAGAACCCGAGGAAGGAGTAGCAAGTGACCACTCAGAGTAGAGAAGCATCTGCTTAGGTCAAGATATATCTACAGAGGAGAGGGTCCCGGCAGTCAGAATCTCTAGAGAAGCTACATCAGTGCCCAAGGGAAGAAGAGGAGTTAGTTCTCCTGCCCTGTAGCACCATAGGGAAGCCACCCAGCAGGTGGGAACATCCCACCAGGTAGGAACATCTTTGTTCTTCTATCCCTGCTGCCTTTTATACAAGCATATATATCTCCTGGTGGAGATACAGCCACTCGGGTGCTGGGGAGGAGGTGAGAAGAGAGAGCTCAAGGGAAAATCACAGTCTTTTTCATTACCCTCAGCTTGGAGTACAGGGAAAAGTCTTATGAATGAAGTTGGAAGCATTTTAACTGCATATATATATATATATATATATATATATATATATGTTTGTTTGTTTGTTTTTGAGATGGGAGTCTTGCTCTGTTGCCCAGGCTGGAGTGCAGTGGTACCATTTTGGCTCACTACAACCTCCACCTCCTCGGTTCAAGCTCCCAAGTGGCTGGGATTACAGGGGCACTGCCATGCCTGGCTAATTTTCTGTGTTTTTAGTGGAGATGGGGTTTCATCATATCGGCCAGGTTGGTCTCAAATTCCTGACTTCAGGTAATCTGCCTACTTTGGCCTCCCAAAGTGCTGGGATTACAGGCATGAGCCATCTTACCCAGTAGTTTTATTCTAAATGCTACTCTGAGGCTGTATTTGTAGTAATGGTGAGACTCTGTTCCCAAGAATAAATAGAAAAGTCATGGGATTTTCTAGTTTGCATTCTGAGCAGGGGAAGATTACCTAGAGAATACATTTATTTTTAGATCTCTGTTTTTCCTTCTTTTAATTTTTTGAAGAGACGGAGTCTCACTATATTGCCCAGGCTGGTTTCCAACTCCTGGGCTCAACTGATTCACCCACCTTACCCTCCCAAAGTGTTAAGGTTACAGATGGGAGCCCTAGTGAATACGTTTGAAATAGATGGAAGTAGATAAAAATACGTTGTGTTTTGAGTATTACAAATGGTTCTTAGTCAACATGCTAGTTATGTATTTAAATGCTTGTGCTAGTAGAGTCTCAGCAAATGATGATTCTCGCCTATCTTTTCTGATCTGAAGTCCACATCTTGAGAACTATACCTTTTGAGATATGACAGAAGGCCAACATTAGCACAGATATTTTCTTCTGTGTGAGAAGAAACTGCTAAGACACTCTTGTCTTTTACTCCATCAGTATTTCTTAGTTTGGCAAATTAATCGTCACTTTGAAAGCCTGGCCACCTAGGATGTAATTACTGGAATTCTGCAGTGCATACAATCATCGTAAACATCAGGACAGACCTCTGAACAGAAACCCAGCTTGTATGTCCAGAACCAGAGAATGCACTGGAATTTTTACACAGATATACTCTCTATAATAATGTATATTTTTCCATTTTTATTTTTTTAATTGTTTATATTTCTTTTTTTAACTTTTAGGTTCAGGGGTACATATGAAGATTTGTTACATACCTGAACTCACATCACAGGGGTTTGTTGTACAGATTATTTCATCACTCAGATGCTAACCCGAGTTCCCATTAGTTATTTTCCCTAATCCTCCCCGTCCTCTCACTCATCACCCTCAAGTAGGCGCCGGGTGTGTGTTCTTCCCGTCCGAAATGATGAGTTCTTTCGCTCCCACTTACTAAGTGACAACATGCTGCATTTGGTTTTTGTTCCTGCATTCGTTTGCTAAGGATACTGTTTTCCATTTTTAGATGATGAAATCCCTCCAGGTGGATTTTGGGTTCCTCAAACAATTGATTCAGTTAAAGTTTGAGGATCGACTAAGAGAGGAATCTTTGCGTCTCTTCAACATTCTACATGATAGGATCCTAGAAGTTGAAAAACATTATCAACAGGTAAATGTTCTCTTATTTCTTTTGTTTTATGATGGATTGATACTGTGCTTAGATGTGTATGCAGTGCAGTTTAGAATTTAGTAACTTATGAGGGCAGTTTAATTTGTATTAGTTGCATGTCGCGTGGTAAATAATACACAGAGCTTCACTATATGTCAGGGACTTGTGTAAGTACTTGGCATATGAACTCATTTAATTCTCACAGTTACCTTATGAAGTAGGCACAATTATTTTCCCTCTTCTACAGATGAGAAAACTGAGGCACAGAAAAGCCAATTAACTTGTTCAAGGTCACCAGTTAAAAAGCAGGAGAGGCCAAGCACATGTGCCTCTAATCCTACCACTTTGGGAAGCCACGGTGGGAGGCTGGCTTGAAGCTGGTAGTTCAAGACCAGCTTGGGCAACGTAGCGAGACCTTGTCTTTATAAAGAATAAAAACATGAGCCAGATATGGTGTTGCAGGCCTGTCATCCCCAGCTACCTAGGAGTCTGAGATAGGGAAATCACTTGAGCCCAGGAGTTCAAGGCTTCAGTGAGCTGTGATCACATCACTGCACTCTAGCCTGGGTGACAAGGTGAGATCTCCATCTCAGAAAAACAAAAAGCAAAACAAACAGACATTACTATTATTTCTGTGCCATAAAAACAAACAAAAAACCCATCTTTTGCTGAGCACACCATGCGAAGTACCATGCTAAGCCTTTAAAATATATTTACTCTTTAAATCTCTCAAAATGTTAAAATGGAAATCCTATTGTCAGTGATTTACAGATAAAGAAACAGCTTGCCAAGGTTAAGTAACTTACTTAAGGTCAGACAGACAGTAAAGGGCACAATGATATTTAAATTCAATCCTATTTAACTCTGAAGCCTATTTGAGGCTGGGAGGTGATGGCTCAGGCCTGTAATCCCAGTACTTTGGGAGGTTGAGGCAGGAGGATCGACTAAGCCCGGGAGTTCAAGATCAACCTGGGAAACACAGCAATACCCCATCTCTACAAAATATATTTAAAGATACATTTTTTTAGAAAAGGATAAAGCCTATTTATTGTTTATACTCCATGCTGAAATCAGAATTGATATCAGAATCACAGGCATTTTATTTTTATTTATTTTTTTTTTTGAGACGGACTTTCGCTCTTGTTACCCAGGCTGGAGGGCAATGGCACGATCTCGGCTCACCGCAACCTCCGCCTCCTGGGTTCAGGCAATTCTCCTGCCTCAGCCTCCTGAGTAGCTGGGATTACAGGCACACGCCACCATGCCCAGCGAATTTTTTGTATTTTTAGTAGAGACGGGGTTTCACCGTGTTGACCAGGATGGTCTCGATCTCTTGACCTCGTGATCCACCTGCCTCGGCCTCCCAAAGTGCTGGGATTACAGGCTTGAGCCACCGCGCCCGGCCTACAGGCATTTTTTTTTAACTGCACTGCCTTCTGTTAATCTAAACAGATGTAATCAAATTATTTGATTAATCAGAAAATAACTCTAGTTTATAGATTGGCACTATAGATTTCTTTTCATTAGCATATCCCATTCAAAACGTACAAGGACTAGAGGAAGATAGGCATCAAACAGATTTTACTACTTTTAAAAATATTCTAGGAAGGCACTAAAAGACTTGACTCACGCGTAAAATGAAATGAAGTGTTCAAATATGATCTCTCTATTGCTTTTGGTTGAGCATAAGTAAAAGTCAAATGTGTCATAATAGCTGCAGGGTGGGACAAATGATTATGAATTGAAGTTTTCAAGAGATTACGATGATTCAGATGATTTTTTTACTATGAGTCCCTCCCTGGTAGGTGTGGGTCATATTTGGAAACACGTTATGGTGCTTATCGCATTTATTTTTATTTGCAGAATGAGGATAAGATGAGAAAATCCTTCAATCAGCAGTTAGCTGACGCCATCGCTGTTATCAAAGGAATGTACCAGGTGAGTTTTTGGTTTTGGTGGTGTCGCTGTGGGCAAGGCTAGTTTCAGTTGTCGTGTGCAGAGTGGGGATCACCTTGGCTTCCCAGTCTTGTTTCCAGTTTTGAAGGCCTGTTTCCTCAATTCAGGTCACCTTAGAGGGATCAGGCCTAGGACTGTTTATGCTCACATTATAACGCTTTCCAGAAACTGGAAAATCCTAATCTGGTATTCAGGACACCTGGGCATGTACCAAAGTAATCCAAAGTTTATTTGGTGGGCATAGCTGAATAGATGAAGGTCAGATGATCCTAAGAGAGATTAAGAGAATCTGTAGTAAATTCCAGTGAACGGTCTCTGACCCTTGGTGGATTAACTTTTCTAAGGACAGGAACATTTCTGTCTTCCGAACACATACTTCATTCTCCTTCACAGTGGGAAAATTCCTACTTTTTGTTGCTTTTCTTAGACTCAGCAAAGATCTTGTGCTTCTTTTAGCATTTATAATCATATTCTCACCTTGCATTTCAATATACTTCCATAAATAAATTTTTTGCATACTTCTTTTTGGGCACTGTTTGCAAGCTTCTTTTCATAGCACACAACACATTTGTATTTAATTATGTAATTGCTTGCGAAGTGTCTGTGTTCCATGCCAGACTGTCAACCTTAAGATGTCCTGGGTGTTACTCTCTGCTGTGGCCCTGCCTTTAGCGCTGTGCCTGGTACATAATTAACAACCAGCTACTGATTGCTAAATGTATGAGTGGTCACCTGTACCTGTGGCAGACAGTGGTGCTGCCTGCTCAAATGTCATTTTCCTCACTGCTTTTTACTCACAGGGGCGCTTCCAACTATAGAAGCCAAAATGCTAGATTCTTCCTCTTCCACCTGCCTTTTCAGCTATCGCACAGGCATAGGCAAAGTCAGGTCCCTAGCCAATGAGACTAAAGGTGAGCTGGCTGTGAGATTTTGGGTGAGGTTGTTCTTCCTAAGTAAAAGGGACTCATGAAGGTATCACCTCACACCAGTCAGAATGATTACTATTAAAAAGTCAAAAAAAATAAATAAATAAATAACAGATGCTGGTGAGGTCGCAGAGTAAAGGGAACACTGGCTTATATGCTACTGATGGGAGTGTAAGTTAGTTCAGCCACTGTGGAAAGCAATCTGGAGATTTCTCAAAGAAGTTAAAACAGAGCTACCATTTGACCAAGCAATTCCTTTGCTGGGTATATATCCAAAGAAAGATAAATCATTCTACCATAAAGACACATGCATGTGTTTGTTCATTGCAGCACTGTTCACAATAGCAGAGACATGAAATCAACCTAGATGACCAGCAACGGTGGACTGGTTAAAAAAATGTGGTATATATACACCATGGAATATTATGCAGCCATAATAAAGAATAAAATCATGTCCTTTGCCGCAACATGGATTGAGCTGGAGGCCACTATCCTAAGCAAATTAATACAGGAACTGGAAACCAAACACTGCATGTTCTTACTTCTAAGTGGGAGCTAAACATTGAGTACACATGGACACAAAGAAGGGAACAAGAGACATGGGGCCTCCTTGAGGCTGGAGAGTGTGAGGAGAGTGAGGATCAAAAAACTACCTATCAAGTATTATGCTTATTACCTAGGTGACAAAATAATCTGTATACCAAACCCCTGTGACATGCAATTTACCCATGTCACAAACCTGCACATGTACCCTCTGAACCTAAAACAAAGTTGGAAAGGGGAAAAAAGGGTCTTATGGAAAACCCTTTCTTTTTCTTTGCTTGACATTTTATGTCTCCTTCTGATGCTTGGAATTGCTGTGGACATTGTGAAACCAAAGACTGAGATCTTCTGGATGTGCTGAGGTAGCAAGGTGGAAAGATGAGAAGCAGGTTATGCTACCTCCACAAAATGAATTGGGGAATGTTAGCTCCATTTTGTTTACTGGAAGCATTTGTATAATCTTGGAAGTATTTCTTCCTTAAATATTTAGAACTGCCAGGGGAGCAAGCTTGGGCCTGGAGGGACTGATTGATTGATAGCAGTCATTTCTTGTTCTTAATTATTATGAGTAACCCTGGACTTGCCCTGCCTCTGGCCTGTTATTTATGAGATAACAACCCCTGAGTGTCTAAGCCACTGTTAGCTGGCTTTTCAGTTACTTGGAGCTGAAGATATCCCAGGACCGATTGCTCTGCTGACAATCTCTGTGACTCTATGCCAAATTGTGTTTCCAAAGGTACATGTGACACTGTCTCCTACTTACCTGCTCTTGTGCAACGTCACCTCACTTCTCTCCCATTGAGAGGTGGAGTCTGATTTCCCTCCCTTGAATCAGGGCTGGCCTTAGTGACTTGCTGATAAGACTTCTAAGTCAAGGTCAAAAGGAGTCACAGATTGGAGTGAGAACTTATGGTGCTTTTTTCAGGCCCACCCATGGCCTCCCATTGACCAATCAGCATACACTTCCTTCCCTTTGAAGCTCATGAGAACCCTAGACTCAGCCAGACTCTGGTAGAGGTCGGAATGACCTGCCTGCAGAGAGGAGCTAGTCACTGTGCATCTCCTCTCAGCTGAGAGCTGAACAGGTATCAGGATGACCTGCCTGCAGAAAGGAGTTACCCACTTCAAGTCTTCTAAGAGCTGTACTGTTGTTCAATAAAGCACCTCTTTGCCTTACTCACTCTCCAGTTGTCTGCATACCTCATTCTTCCTGGATATGGGACAAGAACTCAGGATCCGCCAAATGGTAGGACTGAAACGCACCTCTTGCTCAACCATGTTGCAGTCAACAAGAAGAAGAGAAGAGCTGTAGCCCTTTGAGGAGCCCAGACCCTAGGAGCTTCCTGAGCCAAGGTTGTGGCACCCTCTTTGGGGCTCTGAGGTTCCTGGTGTCTCCAAGTTTCCAGGCGCCACTGTGTTCCCCAGTGCCAGCAGTGGAAGTCACCTGTGGTATACCTGGTCCAGGTGCAGCCTTGCAGGGAGCTGACACCCTTGCCGGTGCCTAGAGCTGCCCACCCCACTGCAGCTGGCACGCCTAGCTGTGTGTAGTAGCCAGGCCCCATGCTCACTCATGTACCCCTTGTTGCTCTGTGCCTGGCTTGCCCTTGGCACACATGGGATCCAAGCTGCTAGCATGAGCCAAGCACAGCCTTCCAGGCCAAACAGGTGGAACGAGCCCAGGAGGCCCGAGCAAAACTCAGGCAAAAGCGCCACTGACCACAGAGGTTTCTGGCTGGCAAAGCAACACCCCAAAGATCCCGTGATGGCATTGGTGGCACATGTTTGTAGTCCTAGCTACTGAGGAGGCTGAGGTAGGAGGACCCTTTGAACCCAGGAGTCTGGGGTTAGCAGTGAGGTATGATCATGCTACTGTACTCCAGCCTGAGGGGCGGCATGACCTTGTCTCTAAAATAAAAAAAAAAGATGTATTTAATCTGTCTTATCCAAAATTCTTGTTTACAATGAGAGAATAAGAATTTTGTGGTTTTTAAAAACATGCTTTGGGACAGGCATGGTGGCTCATGCATGTAATCCTAGCACTGTGGGAGGCAGAAGTGGGCGGATTGCTTGAGCCCAGGAGTTTGAGACCAGCCTGGGCAACATGGTGAGACCCGGCCTCAAAAAATGCAAAACGATTAGCTGGGCATGGTGGCCTGCACCTATGGTCCCAGCTACTCGGGAGGCTGATGTGGGAGTATTGCTTGAGCATGGAAAGTTAAGGCTGCAGTGAGCCATGATCACACCACTGCACTCCAGCCTGGGTGACAGAGTGAGACCCTGTCTCAAAATAAAAAAAAAAATAAAACAAAATTTAAAAACACATGCTTTCTGAAAGTTCTTTGTGTCTTCCACAATTTCTGGGACATTGATCTATTTCTAATGTCTATCAAATGTTCAAAAATAAAGCTGAATAATGAATATCACTCTTTGTCCATATGTCTTATATTTATAGGTATAGAAAGTCATGAAAGGATTAAATTCTTCATATTCATCAGTTTTTCATAAATACTTGTTGGTTAAATATGCTTAATTGTGGTTAGTTGACTTATGAAAAAATTCTTTATATGAAATTAAAGCCATTGTTGGAATCCTTGCCTTGGCTTGTTGGCAACACTTGGATCCATGACCTCAGACAGCCTTCCTAATCCTGGCCACCCAGTTTGCTAAGGCTTAGTCACAAGGAGGAACAGAGGAAAGTTGAAAATGTACCAAACTGCTGTATACACTTTGTAGCATGACAAATATAAATGACTCTCTGCTGCCCTCTGGAGACCAGTTAAGGGCACAAGTACCTGCACTTTTTTTTTTTTTTTTTTCTGCTGTGAACAAGTTTCTAAATCTATTTAACTTTTACTTCTAGTCAATCGAATACAGCAAAGGTGAAGAGTTATATGTGATTATGTTACATAAAAGGGTAGCATCTGTCTTGCTAGAGTCTTTTTCTCTGTTGGCTTGGAGGGAGTGAGAGGCTATGTTGGGGAAACTCATGAGGCAAAGAACTGAGTGTAGCCACAACTGATAGCAAGAAACTGAAGCCTCCAGTCCTATAGCTGCAAAAAGTGGATTCTTCTACAACCTGAGTGAGCTTGGAAGCAGACCCTTCCACGGTTGTGCTTTGGATGAGATCACAGCCCTGAATGCCACTTTAAAAATTGCAGCCTTGGGAGACCCTAAACAGAGAACCTACCTGAATTCCTGACCAACAGAAACTGTGAGATAAGTGTGTGTGTGTGTGTGTGTGTGTGTGTGTGTGTGTGTGTGTGTATGTGTGTGAATTTAATTTTCTTTTCTCTTTTATTAGAGACAGGGTCTCACTATGTTGCCCAGGCTGTTCTCAAACTCCTGACCTCAAGTGATTCTCCACCTCAGCCTCCCAAGGTGCTGGGATTATAGGTGTGAGCCACTATGCCTGGCCAAGCATGTGTGTTTTAAGCCACTACATTTGGGGCAAAACCTTTATGCAACAATAGAAAACAAATTCATCCTTCATATTTAGTGAGCCATTGAATCCTA